TACTTATAATTATAATCATTAACTTTTTTTTTCAACATGTCTTGTTGTCTCCTGTATCATAGCCATGATAATAACGTTTATAATAAACCAAACCGTTTGTAAATCAGTCAAGATTTCAGTGAGTTAATCGTATTTTTGTGCAGATCACTCACCTCACAACAGCTGTAGCAGTAGTTGTTGACTGTGGCAAGATGGCCGCCGGTGAGCTACACTGGCGACTCCCCCTTTGAGCCATCTAGTGTTTATGTGTCTCAGGTCGACTATTTTCATTTCCTCGCTCCTTGGCCCTCGGTCTCACCGGAAGTTGATTTGTCTGCGCCATCTTGAGTACCGTCCCATGGCTCTTATTTCTGCCGGAGGATCAAGGAGCGATAATGGAGGAGCGATAACCGAGGAACCACCAGACCATGGCATCCTCCGATGAAATCCTCAGATACTCGCCTCGCCCATGGCCTCGCCCCTTACTGTGTATCGCTCACTGATTGGACGATGCAGCGCATGCACTGATCTGATGCTTCTTGACATGAGAGCCGTTTCCCAGCGGAGTGAAGAAAATAAATGAAACTCACGAGAGTCACTCCTCAGTTTATACTGTGTTTTGTTTCAATTCATGTATCATTTAGTTACAAATATGTGATATATCTGTATATCTTGAATAAGTTATCAAATAGATACATTAAAATAACAATGACTTGCAAAGGTGGGAAATAACTAAGTACATGTACTCAAGAACTGTTCTTAAATTCAATTTTGAGATACTTACTTGAGTACTACTCCACTTCATTCATTGTGTACATTAGTTACTTTGCAGAGTTGGATTAACGATTTGTGAAATATAGAAAACACTTAAAATAAGACTTCAGTTACACCTGGACTAACATTCACAATCCTGCAGTATACAAAGTCATTAAAACTAGCTGCACCTTTACCAGCTTTGATAACACTTTAATGATCAATAATTATAATCAAAACATATAATGATTCTGAAATGAAGAATTTGCATAATAAGTACTTTTACTTTTGGTACTTTAAGTATATGTTGATGCCAGTGGCGGCTGGTGGAAAATATTTTTGGTGGGGCTGTTGATATAGTGAGTAAAACATTTTTTTTGGGGAGAAATGACCCCTTAAATTAGGACTTCTGGTGATGTAATGGCGCATTTCCAGTGCAGCGCGGAGCTCGCTTTAAGCGTGCCGAGCCGTGCGGGGCCCGTTTTTGGTTGCGTTTCCACTTGGCCTAGTACCGGCTAGCGGGTCCTAATTCACAGTTTTTCTGGCCCCATAAAATCGTGGTTCTAGGGCCAGGAACAACCAGGCTGAGTCGGGCTGAGTATGCTAAACTAGAGAGAGAATCGCTGGCAAGGGGGCTACAACTACAACAAGATGAACACATTTTACCGTGATTTAATTGTAATACACGTTTCAAAATGATGCCGAATTAACAACATACCGGTTAGTAAAAACCATGAATTAACGCTTTGACAAGTCGGCAGGCGAAAAACTCTTTTAAAATGCGTGTTTTCTAAATGGAGCTTGGCTAAGCTAACGTTATATATGCTCCGACCGTCCACACTCACAACAACGGCCTATACAGACATAAATAAACCAGCGACTGTATTCTCCATGACACAGACAGTCTGTGGTTTGTTTCTGAACAGATCGTATCTGTCCCCGGCTGATTGAAGAGCAAGCATGGGAAAGAAAAGACAGCATTTACCTGTTTGCATCCAGCTAGCCATGCCTTTCTGGTGTACCAACTACTTGAGAAGCCTCGTTGATACGTTTTGTCTTTTTCACGAGCTTGCTGCGATATATACAAATCGGGTTGGTCCGGTCCAAGGTCTTTAAGCAACAGTTTATCTCCCAAACTTCTCCTTTCGAAAGGATTGGAGATTAGCTCTTGAACGGAATTGGGCGGGGACTCCACCTGCACATGAAGCCATCCTCATCAACTACTGCCGTACTGCGTCACCCCACCGGATACGAGTCACTAGTGTCCAAACTACTCACAGACTGGACCGGGCGCTGACCTCTGTTCCACCTGTGAGATGACTGTGTCACAAGCCTCCTTCATCACCGGCGCTGTGCTGCTGACTCGTCGGCCTGGCTCGTCTGTTCCATCATGAGCAGTGGCGGCCAATGCATCAGTTTTCTGCCTCATTTTCTGAACATTTTCCTTGAAACGGCAGAGTTGATCCCAGGTGCATCGATGCTTCGTTTTTGCAGAGTGTTGTATAGAACATCCACTTCTGGCATAAGCAACGAAAAAAACTCCAGGAGCTGCATAAATGCTCGGTCCCGCAGTTTCTTTGACAGGCCGTATGCCTCACTTATGGTGACCGCATCCCATCCTGGTTGTGCGCGTATATGCTTCATACACTGAAGTAGTGCATCTCGGGTCTCCCAAACCGCGTTCACAGTTCTGCTTTTAAAGTTCCATCTCACAGCCGGTGGCCGTGGGATGCGTCTCTGTGTTGCCTCTGCAAGAGCTGCAACACGTTTTGGAGCACCGGAGAAAAAAGTGGAAAAAGCAGTTAGATCTGCAAAAAACACCTTCAGGATGCTCATCCTTGCTGAACACAGTTGCTGCAGGGTCAGGTTCAGTTGGTGGGCGTAGCAGTGAACAAACTGAGCGTTTGGGTACGTCTCCTTCATCACCGTTTGTACCCCGCGCACGTTACCGCTCATGACGGCCGCCCCGTCATAGGTCTGAGCGATTAGCTTTTCTTTCAGCTTCAGGGGTTCCAGAACAGCCTTGATGCTGTTAGAGAGACCTACACCAGTTTTGTCCTTTACTTCCACAAACTCCAAAAAACGCTCTGTAACTGTGAGGTCAGGCATAATGTATCGCAGCACAATCACCATTTGCGATTTACAGGAGACATCGGTTGTCTCGTCGGCCTGAACGGCAACAAATGATGTGTTGTCCACTTGCTTGGATATTTCCTCCCTGTACACATCATACATGCAGTCCAAGAGTTCATTCTGTATGGTGCTTGATGTCCCTTTGAAAACAAGCTGAGCTTCGTAGTGCCGTTGAAGCCTGGAATCGCCCTCACACATTGTCTCGAAAATTGACCTGAATATCCCTGGATTCAGAGAGTCTGCCGACTCGTTGTGGCCCCGCAGTGCTGTCTCACATTTCCCACACAGTTTAATACAGGTGATGATCCGACCAAGCACGTACCTGTTTTCTTCCACCTTCCTATTATGAGAATCAATGCCGCGTCTGTAGGCGCTGTCAATCTGAGCTGCAACATTCACCCTTCCAAGTAATCCCAATTTTACGGCATTTTCCAAATGACTGTTGCTGCTCTCATGCTTCATTGTCCTCTCCGAAAGATGCTTTAAGTCCTTGTAACCTGTCCTCGACCAAGTACCTTGATCTTCACCAAAAAGCAGGCAAGGAAAGCAAAAGAGGGAATTCTTCTGGATGCTCGCCGTTAGCCATTTCTTTTTAGCAAACCACTCAGCGTTAAACCCACGTTTAACTTTGCCCGCAGTCTGGACCATTTGGAAATCCGGTGGATGGTGGGCACCGAGGCGCTTTACCTCCAGTTTCTCTCCGAGACTAAGTGTCTCAAATGTGTGCTCCAGTAAATGGTCAACTTCATTCATTTTCTTTCAGTTTTTTACTTCTTTTAATCGCTGGTGATGTTAGCTATATGCTGCTCTCTCGTCTCCTCTTCAAACTACACGTGACGTTTCGCAGCACTGCACACGTGAGTACTTACAGCCAATCAATTCTGAATTATGTGAGATGACGTATGGTGGGGATGGGAGCACTATGCCCCTACGGTCATTATTTTTTTGCCACACACATTAAATAGAAAAATACTCTGAGCATGCGCAGTGTAGTTTTTCCAATCACCGTTCACTTAGACTGTGAGAGGGAGGGGCAGGATCGGTTTTGTCCCACATGGCTCTAAACAGCTCAAAACGGCACTCTAGACACTAATTAGAAGAACACAGACTAAAACAGAAATGTACAGACGAATCAGATTATTAAACATGACCTTAAAATATATTTTATATGTTTTTTTATTTATTTTTTTGTATTTTTTTGTAATCATTATTTGTAATACTTTCTTCTGACACTAGGTGGGGCTGTGCCCCACCTGCCCCTAATGACCCGCCGCCACTGTAAAGAATGCACACATGTGTTTAATCGTTAATGTCAGATATGTACTAAGTAAATACATTTGTTCCTGCTCCAGATTAGATTCAACTTTATTAAAGTGAAAAGTAATGTACACAATCTACAGAATAAAATATAGAATGAATTGAATGATGAATAAACAGTGAGGGGTATGAATACACTAGATATACACAGCAGCCTGAGAGCAGTATGAACAGTGTGTATGATGATAAGATATATAAAGTATGAAAACGGTAAGCTGTGCAAGTATAGTATAAAATATATGGATATTAATTTAATGATGATAAATATTGTGGAACAATGATGAAAAATGTGAATGGAAGTGGCGACGTAAAACTGACACAAAACAACAACAATATTTTGCCCAGCCAATTGGAGAGTTTCATCACCAGCACGTGGAAAAAACCACCAATGAGCGCTCAGCTCGAGATACCAGCGAGTCGTTTCCCATCAAGCATTTCGCTTCCGCAGCCGTGGAGAGGAACTGCGCCGCCTCGCCGCGCCTCGCTCTCAAGGCTACGGGCGTCTTTGTCCCGCGAGATTTCAACGTCTCATGTAGGCGAGCTGTACTACTCTGTTGACTGGGCTACTACTACACCTTCTTCATATTGGGCAGTCCAACTCTGAAGAAGGTGTCCAGGCTCTTCTGTTGATATATTCATTGATAAAAAAAGGCACCACTTGATGAAATATCTGTGTAATGTGTATGTATGTTGGTCTCCTTAGACATTACCATACCGCTAACTTTTGCTCCATAAGTTGTGTATTCCACGGATGTTGTATATTGTGCGCATTTCTTTTGTGTGTACATACTCAACTCCTTTCTTAAAATCAGTACAAATATGTTTTACTATTTTTTATTTCTTTCAAGTTTGAGATTCAGCTTTATTGTCTTTATACATTTTCAGAAGCCCCCTCCACCCTGCACATACAATGAAACGTATGTTAATAATTATTAAATTAGTTGAATAGAAAACTTCCCCAATAAAATAGGCAATCCAATAGAAAAACATACATAAAGTGCCACAATCCTCACATGTAACATTTCAGCTGAAAGGGAATGTGTCTTTCTTAGAAAAATATTAGAAAAGTGACAAACGTTTTCTCTTTGTCCACAAGAAGTCTCCCTATATTTCCTTGTTGTCTTTAAAAACTAAAATTACAAATAACATCACTGCTGAAGTACAATGAGATACAAATATTAAACAACCGACTACTGTTACTGTCATCAGTAGAAAGGTTTTCCTGAAACATTGTAATTCTACATATCTTCATTGAGGTACAATACAACTGTATGTAACATGTTCATTATTTGTGGATTGTATAGTCATACTGCAGTAACATATTTTGGACAATAGAGGGCACCACAATTCCATATTCCCTGTAGAAACCAAAGTTATACTGTAAACCCTACCACCCAATTATATACATCCACACACAAGTTATCATCTTACTTTTTTGGATTTTACTCTGCCGAGTACAATCCAAAAAAGTAAGATGACGCTGGTACTTGTGATACAGTTTCATCTCTATGGCAGAAACACAGTAAGAAGTCAAAACATTCACCAAACTACAAATAAACAATGACAGGAAACAAGCAGGTCAAACTGTATGGAAAAAGTGATGGGTCAAGAACGTCTATCTTAAGAGGAAAACATCCCTGCAGAGAGTATTGGGTCTGAAAACATGGTAAATCTTGCATAGTAACTGGACAGGAAGAAACACTCATTTCCTCTGTGAGTTGATGGCTGCTTTATTGAGAAGTTTGGTTTGTTTGGTACTCAGCAAATCTGATTTCATGTTCTCTGCTGATTATTAACCTGTTGCTTTTAAACAGGAACTTCCTACAGGTTAGCAATATTATGCAAACAGGTCCTGTGTCCTTAATCTGAGCTACCCATTCATTTTCTTTAATTTGAGATGAAGTGCAAAAAATGACTTATTGGTGTTGGAATGTATACAGAGCTCTGCACAGGGCTCTCGCCTAGATGTGTAAATACATAGTGCACATCAGGATTACCCTGAAAAAGGTTAAACAACACGATTATATTAGTACAAACTACTTTTGTATAAAATCAAATACAAGTTTGATGATAAAACATCTTAATATAAAACCTTTTCTTAGCAGCAGGAAAATAGAATGGATATCTAACAGACACATTTTAAAAACATGGAAATCTACTTTCTCCTACAGTAATCTCACAAGAATATTTTAATTAAAGACCCCTTTACATAGATCTATTCAATATAAATATTAAGAGAGAAGATTTCACACTATATCAACTGTTCTCCAGAACATCCTTTGGCAATTTTGACAAAGGTTTCTGGTTTAAAAGAACATTTATTCTTCTCTTTGTGAAGAAAATAAACAGGCACATACTGAAACTAAAAGGTTCTCCCTGTTGTATTCTTCTGTACCTGTTCCTCTCTAGTCAAGTTACAGTTTACATTCATATCTGTCAAAAATGTCATCACTTTGCATCCTGTGACTTGTACCTGTCAGTTAGATGTAGCCAACAATGACACAATGCAAGTTTTTCCATCCAATTTTTAAATCCAGTGAAATCTCAAATCTACACTACTGCATTTGAATCAGATTTGATGACAAAATAATGCTTTAGCCTGCAGCTGGACAATGGTATAAAACGGTTTCTCCTGATGGAAAGTAATACCTGATCTAACATCCCAAGAGCAGGTGCAGGAAACAAAGAGTCAATCAGCTTCTGTCACAGCCTGTAAGCTACAGTTTGGTACTGCTTAAGTTTTTTTTTGGACCACATTCCAGATTAGGATCATTTAAAATGTTCCACATAAGATACAATTGAGCTGAAAGGAATCTGTGCACCAGTAAAACATCCTGATAAAAGCAAGGATCATAAACATCGTGTTTTCTGGAGGGAATGTGCAGTCCTGCTGTCTTCACACCCATATGAGAAGCGGGACTTAGTCCTGCTTTGGCCAGACACATCCCCATGTAAACATCGTCAATGGGAAGAATGGTAATGGACTGAGACATGTTGTATATAACCATAGCTGTATAACCAGACAGGAGGAAGCCCCCACCACCACAGTAAGAGGGATATGAGTTTGACTCCTGCACCTGCACTGGGATATAGTATTTGTTCCAAGATTCTCTTATGGGCCCTACGTTATAGATCAGATGACCAGCAAAGAGGTGTTTGCTTCCATCGTTGTCCTTTAGGCCTTGGAGATACTCGACCATGTTGTTTGTGTGGGCCAAGACGTCATCGTCACCATTCAGAAGGAAGTGAGCGTTTGGACAGTTTTGTTCCATCCATTCCAGGAAGAGGATCTGCTTCAAGGTGAGGTTGAAAAATGAATCATGAAAGTCCCATTGGATGATGTCATTGTACTCACGTTGCTCTACCTTGAGTAGTTTGTTCAGTCTCTCTTTCTCAAAACCAGTATCTGTGGTCCCTGAGATGAAGACCCTTCGGATCCACACACCATTGTGTAGCCTCTCTTTAGCCCAGGTTTTACGCAGCACCTCTCGACGGTCGTAGTTGCCAGGGGAACTTTTAATGACCAGCAGAAGGAAGACTTCTGCAGATTTATCAGCTCCTCCACATTTGTAAGGAAGGTCCAGTAGCATGGGGAAATGGCGACAGTGTCGATAATAGAGAAAGTCTTGGATGTGCTGAGGAAGAGTTTTGAAGCCTGTGATGTTGGCGGCAGACATATTTTGTTGACATGCTGGCCAGGAATATACATAGGGTTTTTTTTGTATCAATTGCCTTATTTGATGTTTATCTTCCCTCGCATCTTCTTCGAGGTTGAAGATGTTGTTGTCAATAAAGTCTTTACAGAGAAGGAGGACAAACAGACTAAGAACTCCTGCTAGCAAGAGAGCTTTTGCACGGACGTTTCTCATCCTTGAATCTCTGTAGTGAGAAAACAAAACGGTGTTATTATCAAAACTGTATGACATAAGTAACAAGATTAATTGGTTGTTAATTCCTTAGTTAAGTTCATGGATAGCCCGTCCTCGGGCATTGCAGCCACTGCCACACTGTACCAGTTCAATATGCATCAATGTTGAAGGCCAAAGCAAACCAGGAGCTGATTAAAACATATTATATTATGCTAAACTGAACCCAGTTTTATTTTCCAAGGAGATGATCCAAGTCAGATTTAATCACAGCAATTTGGCCTTTGATAAAGAAAAAAAGGGGAATAATAAAAAAACAGCCTTGAGTCTCTGACAATGTTTATTTATATTCTCCACATAATTAAAGGTGGGGTAGGTCATTTTGGAGAAACCAGCTCAAGTGCGCTAGATTTTGAAAATACACAACCGTAAAAAATCTGCCACTTCCTTACAGAGCCCCTCCTCCAACACACACGAACACGCACATGACCAATGAGGGCACGAGATACGTTTGTGCCCCGATGGGAGGCTGACAGGCATGTAGGCCATCCAGTTATTTTAGCCAGGCCGGCTAAAATGATTGGTCGTGCTTTTTACAGTACTACGGCTTTCACAGATGACATTTTTTAATAGATTTTTTGTCAAAACACTTAAGATATTCATTGCTATCGGAATGTTAAGAGCATTCCATGGAATATAACAAAAAGTGTATCTCGAGCCGGTTTCTCAAACTTACCTACCCCACCTTTAAGTGAGTTAATGTGAACCTAAACGATAAGGATTGGGTTTAAATGGCTGATGTATCTGTGCTCACAGATATCACTGGCCTATAAAAGTGTCCCCTGAAAGTCTTATTTATTAAGACTTAAGGTTTGGCATTCTGAATCATCAGAATTATCAGAAGTTAAATATCATAAAGTTCCTAGAATGTGTAAATTATCAGTATTTAGCATTAAGTAGTTAGTATCTAGTTTGGTAGCCTGTTGATCTTCCTGAAATGTAAATGTTACACTATGCTCATTCTGCAGAAGATTGGAGCTTTATTTCAACCAACACATTGTTTAATGGAGATGCCACAAACAGTCTGAAGGTGGTTTGAAACATGTTTTTCTAAATTAGAGGCAGGAATATAGACGATGGAGTTAATTTTGAGATCATTTATATTGCAAATAGAAGCATAGACTTTGAGCATTTACTGTTGATAGGAGATTGTATTTACCTGAATTGAGACTACATAGTGACTATTTTGGCGTACACTCACCATATACAACACAGAGAGGCTGAATGTGCCTATAATGAAGCTTTCACACATTTCATATTACTGCTTTGAATAACAAGCAGAGAGCAACAGGAGAGAGCAGACGGTGCCTCAAAGCAGACATGAGGTGGCTTGGCATCTGCCCCACAGAATCCCTACATGTTGTACTAAACCAGCACATGGGCGGAAACTAGTCTAATGCTGTCATGTCTCCTCAAAATGGATGGAATATGTGACAAATACATGATGTCAGACATTAGAACATCAGCACAAACCAATTAGGCCTACAGAAAAACATGAGAAGAAATGGGGAGGGTCCACCAAACATTAACCTTAACAGTCAAATAAAAAAACACTAGCCTCACCCTGTTAATCCACTGGGAAATATGCAGAATGTATGTGCCAATATGCAGACACACAACTGACTGTTTGCAAGAAACCTAACAATACACTACACATTTTGTGGAGTATTTTTCTTCCTTAAAACTTTTTCAATCATATATCATGGTAGTCGACAAACTTATACTGTTTGTATTTTGTTAAGACTGGAGGTCTTGAATTCAGTCATTCTTTTCTGCTAGGCAAGGCAAGTTTATTTATATAGCATCTTTCAACACAAGGCAATTCAAGGTGCTTTACAAAAATGAAAGACATTCAGACAAAGGCATTTAAAAACAGTCATTAAAAAGAAAAGATAATAAAATGAACATTAAAAGAAAAATACATGAATAAAAAGTTACAGTGCAGTTTAAGCTATGAATAGTTCACACAGAAGTTCCACTTTACTGATGCCTTTCTTTAAGGTTTCTCCGAACAGGAGCTGTATACGCTTGTATGACACATACGTCCCGAGCAACATACACAGAGAAAATCAGCCAGGACAAAGTCCCCAGACACTGATTCCCTGCGATTATAGCCCCAAATGTTCATTAACCAATGCTGTTAATAATATACTAGGTGTTTTTCCCCCTAGCTTACTCATAACTTTGCTTTTACTTTGTGTTGATTAATGACGCATGAGCCATTCAGGCAGTGATGATCTGGCCTCTCCGTGGTTGCCATGGAATGTCTACAATGAAAGTGGTCATGAGAGTGACGAAAGACACAGACTGACGGGAAGACAACTAACAGGATATTTTACACCCGGACTAAGTAAATGAACTAAAGGACTGAATATTTAACTTTATATTTTTTAATTCTTAAATCTGCAGTTTTTTTCAGATTTAAGATACAAAATATATGATTGGTTTACAAAACATTATGCATTACACTAGGTTCAATTAACACACACAGCTCTATTCTGACAAGCTACAACACTAGCAATAAATACAGTTTATTATTATATTTATTTATTCATATGCCATGCACACAGGTGTGAAAAAACAGCCTTGGTCTAGATTCCCTTTTAATATGCTGCTGAATCAGCAAAAAGTTGAAGAATTTAGAATTGGAGAACTATACTCTGAATGTTGTTGAATCGGCATTTACATAAATATAACAAAAAATATGAAGTCTTGAATAAACCTGGAAAGCTCCACATCAATCTGATACAACTTTAAAATGCAGCTTACACATTGATGCATTAGTAAGCATTACTAGAATTTAAGATCAGGTTAAACATGAGCTATTAGATTTCAATTGCTTTTCTGTTGATTGTGTTGTATAAATAAAGTAATATTGAATAATTATGTATTTTTATACATTTAATATATTCATATTTTACTGCAGAACTAATACTTTTACTACGAATACTAAATATATTTAGCTGCTCCCCTGCTGATAAAATAATCTTGGATGAAATCAAGGGTTGATTTAAGCTGAGCTGTTTTCTTTCAGCAGAGTAGGCTTACTTTTACTTAAGTGATATTGTGAATGATTTTAGAGTACTTATAAAATAATGTTTTACATCCTTGTTTTGGTAGCCTACTTTTTGTTCAAGAGTCTAAATAGTTAACGTCATGTGAAACCATATATATATATATATATATATATTTTTATGAAAAGGAAGTCGTTATTTGATCAGGTGACATTTAATTTGTACTTACAATAGGACATATTTATAACATTATAGCCTATTATAACTTGTATCACCATACGGTTACAATAGCTAACAATAAAGAAAGGACAGTATAAAAAACAACTTTCTTACAACTTGGCCTACTACTTTTTGAAAAGAAAGTGAAAGAGGAAATAGCCGGGTTTTTCGGTCAGGAGCGTTGTTTTTCCGACCTATCATAACATTTTATGATATAGGCTACAATCAATTATCCTAATTAGATTTGCTGAAATCTCATCTAACATATTTTACTTTTATCGGAAATAATTTCCCGTTACTTTAAAACGGAAGCTCTCTCCACTCTAATATAGCGTGCTGCTACGTTACAAAAACATTTGGTTTTATGAAGTTGGTTTGAATAAGTGTAGGGTACTTACAGTTATAGTTCCTCCTGTGAGTCTCTGTAGCCCCAAAGTTATCGCTAGTCCTCAGCAGCATGATTTGTGGTCTGGACTAATGTCAGCGCGCTGGGCGGTGCCCGTTTCTCATGATGGACGTCTGCGTCAGGAGGACTGACTGTCCATACTATAGATCAGGGGTGCCCAACCTGTTTTGAACCGAGAGCTACTTTTAAAGTAGCCAGTCTGCCGAGATCTACCAGTCCAAATAGAGAGGCGTAGCCATTACTGACAGGTAAATACACACTACTTGTATAAAACTGACCTTTCTACGATGAATACTTCATAAAATACTGCAGATCCTTTATCTTACCTCTTTCTAATCTACACACATACAAGTATTTAACTGAAGTTACACAAGTGTTGTTGATACAGAGTTGGAGTTTATTCACACGTCACACACTACAGTGGGTATAATGTTTTCAAGAAACATTGAAGTGCTGCCACATATGACACAGGAAAAAAAGAAAAGACGCTGAACCCTTTATTTGCCATTATATAAAAATAGTGTTGCTACAAAAGTATAAATGAGGCTTACTAATAAGACAACTCAGATCTGAAGCTACACAGGAATCTGCTGCCAAAGTGCAATAAAAAAGACAAAATTAATAGAATCAAATCTTTTTTTGTTGCATTTTAGTAGATTATAAAAAATAAATGCCTTTAAAATAGGATGCAAGCAACACTAGTTTCTTAACCTGAATTGATAATAGACTAATGTAGTGCCAAGAGATATGGAGTCAGAGGCGGTGCAAGGAAGGTGCAAGAATAGTGATTTATTCACAAGCTGCAAAGGACATGTTGTCGGGTTGCAGCCCGGGTCGACAAGAGAGAGCCAAGAGGGCACACACTATTTATAGGTAACCCATAACATGTCCGTGTGGGAACAATAACCGCAACTGTAGTTCCAAGTTTGAATTATGTCCCAGTGGTTAAATAGGTGGTCACCACACAAGCCCCCCCAGAATTCAAACATGGCAACAAAATATATATCCCCACGTCCGTGGAGGAAGCACCACAAGGGCCGAGGAGGGTGGGGCCGCAGGTGAGGACCGGGTCATGGAACGGGCCACGAAAAGGGGGCCGCAGGAGAGGGCAGGGGCCCTAACGAGGGCGAGGGCACCCACACCGGGGGCGGGCCGTCGTAAGGGGGCTGCAGTAGGTGTCGCGGAGAACCCAGCAGGAAAGAGCGCAACCCGGCCGCGGGCACGAAGTCCTCGGCAGGCGTCGAGGTATCCCCGGAAGAGAGGAGCATTCCCCCCGGGAGGAAGGAGCGCAACCCGGCCGCAGGCAGACGTGCAACGGCAGCGGGCACGAAGTCCTCGGCAGGCGTCGAGGCATCCCCGGGAAGCAGGAGAGCAACCCGGCCGCAGGCAGACGTGCCGCGGCGGCGGGCATGAAGTCCTCAGCAGATGTCGAGGTATCCCCGGGAAGCAGGAGAGCAACCCGGCCGCAGGCAGACGTGCCGCGGCGGCGGGCATGAAGTCCTCAGCAGGCGCTGAGGCATCCCCGGGAAGCAGGAGAGGCCAGACAGGGTCCCGGAGCGCGCCACCCATGGGCCGATGGAGCATGGGCGACGTCTGGAACTGTCGAGGCGAGAGGGGGTCCAGGAGTGCACCACCCAGGCGTCGATGGAAACGTGAGTGGCGTCTGGAACCGCCGTGGAGGTGGTGAAAAAGATGAGTGTCCACATGAGGTCAACCAGCTGGTCGAACCTCCTCTCCGGCACCAGAAAAAGAAAAAAAACTCAAAAGGGCTGATAGCCGTTAGCACTAGCCGTCGTTAGCCCCACGTGGTTAGCCGCTAGCTGCCAGCCATGGGTAGCTGCCAGCCGTCGTTAGCCCCACGTGGTTAGCAGCCGGGACGTGCAGCCGCACGCCCCGAAGAACAAACCCACGAGGTAGCAATGGGGTTGCTGGTCGACCCAGCAGGTCGTGCATCGTCCCCCCGTTGGATAGAAAGCCAATGCGGGAACGGCGAGCAACGTCTCCAGCCTTCTGCGGAGCGCGCACCGAGCCTCAGTCCGCGTGCCGGTGGCAGCCACGGACGTCTCCAATCAAACCCCGGCATTTCGAGAAACGAACTCGAGTTCCTTTTTCCGTGTTCGGCTCCGTCCCGGAAACTTCTCAAGACGTATCAGGGTCACCAGTGTAGTGCCGAGAGATATGGAGTCAGAGGCGGTGCAAGGAAGGTGCAAGAATAGTGATTTATTCACAAGCTGCAAAGGACATGTTGTCGGGTCGCAGCTCGGGTCGACAAGAGAGAGCCAAGAGGGCACACACTATTTATAGGTAACCCATAACATGTCCGTGTGGGAACAATAACCGCAACTGTAGTTCCAAGTTTGAATTATGTCCCAGTGGTTAAATAGGTGGTCACCACACTAATCAATTTAAACAGAACAGATCTTAATGTTTGCATTCTTATACCATGTTGTACAATAATTATAATGAATAAGTTCAAACAAACTAAAACTTAAAGCTGATTAATAACGGTATCTAACTTGAGTTTTTATTATATCAAAAACCTGTTGAAATGCTACCGTTTTTTACTGTCCCCCAAAAGCGCGTCGGCAGCCTCCAGAACTGCTTCTTTCATATGGGCATAGATATGTCTCATAATTATTTGTGTGAACATAAAAATAATTTGTGTGTAAATATGTGATTTGTAAATGTAAAACAACATCCACAAATGCATTTAAAAGATTTGCAAACTCACAAATACATTTGCAAGTGTAAAACGGATCTGCAAATACGTTAAATATGTTCACAAATTAAAAAAAGATCTGTGAATATCTCTTTAACATTTACACCTTTCGATCAGGCATTTGTGAATCCATTTTGTATTTGTGGACCAAAAATGCGCTTGCGGATCTCAAATCTCTGTTCGCGGATCGTCTTTTTACACACACGGAATTTTGAGACATATTTTCCGCCGGTCTCGGCTAAAATCTACTCGTGTCACTCGGTTATTTTCGGAAATCACGTGATGGCCTGCTGATGACAACATTTCCGCATGATTTCAAAGTAAGAGCATGATGGTTTGTTTGATTGATTGATTGATTGAAAAGTTTATTAACAGCTTGTATATTGGGTACAGTACAGTACAGCTCAAAACATACAATTGTTAAGGGGATGCAGACCAGAGAAAGACTTTCGTCTTGTTTACATCAGGGTCCCCCATTTCCAATTCATCATGTCATTTAAGACATATAAGACATATTTGACATACAGATAGATGGCTTATTTACAATTTACATACAGGTGGTTTTTTATATACAGATTGCTTATTTACAATTTTCATTTTAAATTTCGTTCTAATACATCCTAACCGGACATTTAAGACATACCAAGTCTACAGATATACAGTTAGTAACATAGTCTAAAATGCGAGTATATACATAGATGGGGGGGGGGGGGAAGCTGTCCATTGAACGACAGGTTGAGATTTGCACCATTACCGGGGCCAGTTTTGCAATGCTCTCCCCCGAATGCTCTGTTTTTGTATTATAATGAACAGCGGAACGTTAGATGTATTCTTCATCACCATAACCCTGGCCTAAATACGGTGCTTATCTACAGATTACTTTATTACTGCACTGGTAAGGTAAAATTAGGCCGATTAATAAGATGTGAAGTGCTTTGTAACTTCGACCCGCTTGACTGAATACACAACAAACAATGAAGAAAGAGTTTTATCTGGGCTGTTTCACTGCCAGCTGCTCCCCCGGGACCCGAAAGTGGCGTATAGCCTGCACTTCAACATCAATGAAAGTGCTCGATATATGCTATATTGAACCAATAACACAAACTAACTGTATCACTATAACATGATGGTGATGGTGATGGTGATGAAGAATGCATCTAACGTTCCGCTGTTCATTATAATACAAAAACAGAGCATTAAACAAACCATCATGCTCTTACTTTGAAATCATGTGGAAATGTCGTCATCAGCAGGCCATCACGTGGTTTCCGAAAATAACCGAGTGACACGAGTAGATTTTAGTCGAGACCGGCGGAAAATATGTCTCAAAATTCCGTGTGTGTAAAAAGACGATCCGCGAACAGAGATTTGAGATCCGCAAGCGCATTTTTGGTCCACAAATACAAAATTGATTCACAAATGCCTGATCGAAAGGTGTAAATGTTAAAGAGATATTCACAGATCTTTTTTTTATTTGTGAACATATTTAACGTATTTGCAGATCCGTTTTACACTTGCAAATGTATTTGTGAGTTTGCAAATCTTTTAAATGCATTTGTGGATGTTGTTTTACATTTACAAATCACATATTTACACACAAACTATTTTTATGTTCACACAAATAATTATGAGACATATCTATGCCCATACTTTCACAACTTCGCCATCTTTGAAAGATTTCATGTGTTTGGCAAGAACGTGACTGACACGATAAGATGCTATGGTAGTAGCCTTGCTCTTGTTGTTGGGCCCTGGTGAAAATGGACTGCTGTGCATTTAGCTGTCCTTTCAGGCCCCTCCCCTTTTGGAGCGTAGGGCAGAATTAGGAGGGAATTCCGTCTCGTAGCGTTTGTGCACTGTTTTGAAATGCCGCTCCTAAATTACCCTTCTTCGATAAAGCCACGCTCGCGTTGCAGATGAGACAGATGGACTTTGAATTGGAATAGATACAAAAATAATCATCCTCCCACTCGGAGTGAGAATTATATATGTTTTGCTTCTGCCATAATTGCGGTCTTGTGTGTGTGCGGCCTGTCACTCCTGTGTTGACACCGTCTATGGTTGACACGGACAACGTTAGCGAACTAGTGCAGTGCACACTGCCCACTGCTCACCAGCCACGCCCCGACACATGGGGTCACGCCGGCCAATCACAAAGCTTTGATGCGTTCAAGTGCATTATTCTGGCACAGGAAGATTATGTTACAGGACATTAACGATAAAACAGAATATTGTTGTTCTATTTTTAGACACATCTCGCGATCGACTGGGAATCTCCCCGCGATCGACCGGTCGATCGCGATCGACTGGTTGGGCACCCCTGATAGATAGATGGATAGAAAGATAGATCAGATCTATAGATGTATAGATAGATGTATAGATAGATAGATATCTATATAAATAGATAAATAAATATATAGATAGATAGATAC